TCTTATAATGTATATGTACTTTTCTGGGAGTAGTTGGTCTACCAGGTGCGCTCTATTCTGATGATGTTGATGGTTTTCAGGTTCATTTTTTTTAAGTACTCTGTTGTTAATTTGTTACCTGGGCTTACATAAGTTGGTATGAGTCATTTTTAAATTTTAAGTTTTTTAAATATGTATTGCTGTTACTATTTTTTTCTTTGACAAGTAAAAAATATTGTATTGTTAGGTTAAAATAAAGGTGAAGCTGCATTGAGGTTTAGTGCTGCTAATTAGACACTATTAAAGTGGCTATATACATAACCTGAATGTTAGAAGCATGTATGAAATGTTGAACTCCTTCATGAAAATAAACAGCACTTGTGATGTGATGGTATGTTTTTTCCATCCCATGTCAAAGTGCATCAGTAGAAGTTGAAGCTTGCAGCTGTCACTGTTTCATGCTTATTTTGGTTAGTAGCATCAAGAAAGCTCGCTGAGCTTCATTTGTATGCAATTTGACTCTTCCTTACAAACTGATCACACCACTTATAATGTAGGGAGAGTTTTCATTAATTATATGTTATGTTTCTGTGGGAATGATTTCATGCAATTTTTTTTCCCCCCTACAGGAGGAGACACCTCAGGGGTTGTTCGAAGACCATGGGCTGGGTTAACTGTCTGGCTACCCAGTCTGAAAAGAAAAAATTATATATATATACAATATACCTTAGATAAGAGATTGTAAAAGAGGAAATATTAACTGGACAAATTGGCCTTTAAATGGCATTGTTTAAGTACAGTATTTAACACTATTTAATGAAACTTGCTACAGTATAGTGAACAGTATTAAAAAATCACTCAAAATTTGAGTGGTTTAAATGTTGTCCATTTGCAGTTGTTATTCAGTTGTTATTCCTTGTGAAGGTTCACAGAGAGTGGTGGTAACTTCCAGTGTACTCTACTGTAAAGTCATGTCAAGGTAGTTCAGTGATTTTCCTCTATTATAATTTGTTCTTTGGCAACTAATTTCTTTCCTTTAGTACAACTTTAGTACTGGAGCATCTTCCATAATATAACTAATGCAATATACGTAGATTGTTTCCATTGTTTCGTAAATAAGTGAGACCGAAGCCTGCCAATTAAATTTAAAATATATTGAGAGAAAAAAACAAAGGTGATAAAGTCAATATCGCAGTGTTGGCACAGTTGCTGTCATGGAGGTGGGAGACCTGCAGGCAGGAATTATTGATAAATTTGTGAAATTAGAGGTTGAACCACTCTACTAATACATATTAAATTAATTTGGCAGGAAGCAAAACTCTTTACATTCCTGTACGTAGTTAAACACACACAATTATTTTAACCTTCTACAGATAGTTTCTTCATAGTATCTATAAACTGAATAATGCATTTAGTAGTGTAGACCTGTGTTCTATTGCTGTTTGTTACCATTACAAATGAGAGTATGAAGAGGAAATACAAAGTGGCTAATACCAGTAATTAATACAGGATGAATTATATGTGCTGTTGCACTATTCATAGTCATTTTTATATTTAGCTACATTCAGTGTATATTATTGCATGTTAGTTTGTTATGAGCACTTTAACTTTGTTTAAAGCACCATTGGTATACAGTATTTAATAGTTTTCCTTAACATATTTTTACATATACAGTGGACCCCCGGTTAACGATATTTTTTCATTCCAGAAGTATGTTCAGGTGCCAGTACTGACCGAATTTGTTCCCATAAGGAATATTGTGAAGTAGATTAGTCCATTTCAGACCCCCAAACATACACGCACAAACGCACTTACATAAATACACTTACACAATTGGTCGCATTGGGAGGTGATCATTAAGCGGGGGTCCACTGTATAAGATCAATAATTAATGTACTGGGTTACGTCTATGCCAGTCATTATTGTAGTGTTTTATTTCTTAAATACTATATAAATATCAGGTAGTAGAGAGTAAAAATAAATTTGCAAGTTGAAAGCTAAGCTCGAGTCAAATGCTAAATACTATTTGTTAAAACTGAATAATTACCAGTGCATTATTTTTATTCTTAAATCAGTTAAGACCTCTGTTTAAAATTTTGCTTAGCATTAGCTGTGTTTTAAGTATAAACTTGATTAGGCATTTGTATTTTAATTTTTAACATTTCAGAATTAATTTATAATTTATATTTATGTGAGGCACTAAACCTGCATGGATCACTAAATGTGTCTGGGTTACTAAACACTTATGGGTCAGTCAGCATAAGTTATGGAGATTCAGTCCTCTTATCTTGTTAAGTGTGAGACAGATATATAGCCTACGAGCAAATTCCCATTCATTGTGAATAGGTAATTTAATTGTTTACTTGAATAATCTCACCATTTCATTGAGCATATCAAATATTATACATAATGTAATCAAAGTATAATAACCTCACCCCAGGAACCTCAGTCTCAGTGAGTCACAACCGTCCACCTACTAGCTTTATATCATTAATATTAAGAAATATTGTAAGTTATATAGCAGTTATAGTGCAACTTTTCAAACTTATATTTTTGGTAAGCTCATGTATTCATTGTTGTGTGGTCATCTGCTGGTTCATCATACTCCTAGTCATTTGTATAATGTATGCTGTACTGCTTGCTTGGTTAGTCAAGAAACACTTAAAGTTATCTTTCATTATAACAAAGCCTAAATCTGGATTAACTTTATTTCAGTAACTTCATTGTAGGTGAAAATTAAAGAATTTTGTGTAAGCAGAAAACAATAATATAATTCTTACTGCATAAACTACAAATTTTGACAAGGTGTCAGCATAATTACATTTGTTTTAGACTATTTAATAAAGGAAATCTAAAATGTGAAATGACACTGGATATTCAAATAATTATAGTTGCAAAGAAATCATTGCATGTAGAATGTACTGTAAGATGAACCATCAGAGGCAAGCAGTTTGAGAGCATTAGCAAGAGTGAAGCATTACTGTGGTGGGGATTGCTATAAATAGTACAGTATATAATGATTAAATGGTGATGTGCAGCAGTAGAATGGTGTAAGTGAGGTAGGATGAATTTTACATAGGAAAAAGATAAGTTCATACAGTGGAGAAAAAAGGAAAGCGTTCACTGAAGGATTAAAAAAAAATGTTCTTAATTCACCATGGAAATGATTGTGTGTTGAACGTGTAGAAGTAGAGCTGGATAAGGATGGAGAAAACAAAAATTGGGAATGCATGAGAAGAAAGGTGTTTTAATGAAGAAATCATAGGGTAGGTAAGAGGTTCTCATTAATTATTGCCTTGCACAGCACTATTGATTAATTGTTTCCATACATGGCACCTCAAGTATTGTATACAGTAGACCCTCATATTACACGGATTTATTTGGCATGTTTTGGTTATTACACTATTGATTTTTTTTTTTTTATCAACAAGTCAGCCATCTCCCACTGAGGCAGGGTGACCCAAAAAGAAAGAAAATCCCCAAAAAGAAAATACTTTCAGCATCATTCAACACTTTCACCTCACTCATACATAATCACTGTTTTTGCAGAGGCACCCAGATACAACATTTTAGAAACATATATAAAAATATATAACATATCCCTCCAAACTGCCAATATCCCAACCCCCTCCTTTATAGTGCAGGCAGTGTACTTTCTATTTCCAGTACTCAAGTCCGGCTATATAAAAATAACCGGTTTTCCTGAATCCCTTCACTAAATATTACCCTGCTCACACTCCAACAGCTCGTCAAGTCCCAAAACCACTCGTCTCCATTCACTCCTATCTAACACGCTCACGTACGCTTGCTGGAAGTCCAAGCCCCTCACCCACAAAACCTCCTTTACCCCCTCCCTCCAACCTTTTTGAGGATGACCCCTACCCCCGCCTTCCATCCCCTACAGATTTATACACTCTCCATATCATTCTACTTTTCTTTTTCTTTTTAGTAGGCTATACGGGAAAAGGGGTTACTAGCCCATTGTTCCCGGCATTTTAGTTAACTTTTACAACACACATGGCTTACGGAGGAAAGATTCTTATTCCACTTCCCCATGGATATAAAAGGAAAAGCAATAAGAACAAGAACTATTAAGATAAAATCAGATGAGTGTGTATACATAAACGTGTACATGTATGTGTAGTGTGACCTTAGTGTAAGTAGAAGCAGCAAGACGTACCTGAAATCTTGCATGTTTATGAGACAGAAAAAAGACACCAGCAGTCCTACCATCATCTAAAATAATTACAGGCTTTTGTTTTACACTCACTTGGCAGGACAGTAGTACCTCCCTGGGTGGTTGCTGTCTACCAACCTACTACTCTTACTATTATTGAAATATTGTGGTGTTATTTTATATAACACTTTGGAAAATTAACTTAATACGGTTCAGTTTGTGGGAGGGGAAAAAATTTGGAGGTGACTCCACATTTAAAAGTTGTATTTTTACCTCTAAATACAGCATATTTAATACAACCACTGGATCAGGGAGTTATTAAGCCATTCAAGTGTAACTACACAAGAAAAGTGATGAAAAAACTAGTTGCATCAATGGACTCTTGACTCCAATTTGGCAGTACCAAGCTTCTGGAATAAATTTAATAGTGCAGATGCCATCAGCTATGTTAGATGTGCATGGAATGAAGTGTCCCAATCAACATTAAATGCAAGCTGGGGAAAGTTATGGCCTTCTGTAGTTAATTCTTTCACACTGACTTTAGTAGCAGAACCTCAACCATCCACTTCTGCTGATAACAAACAGCCATCCACCTCAGCCCAGTAGGGCCACACCATGCATTTCCACTCTTCACAATCACCGACATACACCAGCAACCACAATTTAGGGTAAATAATTACATTTCTGTTGCATTTGTAGTCTTAGGCAGTAAGAACAACATAATACATCACGACAATGAACTACAATTACATATTCACTTTTATTTTTGTAAGATCTGGAGATCTAAAAAAGTTATTTGGCTTTTTTGGGATTCTTAAGAACATAACCATATTTTTCCCATAAGTTCTTCACTTTATAAAACACGGATTGATCTAACACGGCATTTTCAGGAATATAACTACCATGTAATATGAGTCTACTGTATTCCATCTCTGTACCATCAATGTATCCTTTAACCCTTGTGTACCATATTACATAATAAAATACATATACCTATTTGTGTATTTATAAAAGATGAGATAGTAGGAGAAGTGGAATATGCAAATGGTAAATCTTTTTCCTCAAAGCCTTTTTTTTTCTACTTCTCCAAGACTATGGGTCCCCACAGTTGGCAAATGTATAAATTAAATCACAAAACCAATTTTAGTAAGTATGGCACAGTAACTTTATGTGAGAATCTGAAATAGTTATAGATGAAATAACTTGAAATTTAGTTTCAATTTTGCACAGTGAAGTTAAACTAAACTCTTTTCTGTGCATGAGCTACCTTAGGGTATTTTGCCCTGGTGTGAAAAATTGCATGGTAATTATTTTAAGAACTTTAGTAAATGTATGTTTTCTTTATGCTTGATTTATAAACATTTAATTATATATATAAAATATGCTGTTAACCTTGAAGTATTTTAATGTTCCCTGTTTAAACCATTTAAACATACTAAGCCTTGTTAAATCTAAAAGTATTATACCTTGTACTGCCTTGCATAATAAATATTAATGTTTAGTGCACCAAAAATTATAATTATTAAGCCCTCCACCATTTTGATATATTTTATTCAACAGCAGAATAATTTAAATACAATCTGTAAACATTCAGTGCATGATTACCCTCTCACTTCTGCATATACAGTGGAACCTCGGCACTCGAACTTAATTGGTTCCAGAAAGCTGTTCGAGTACAGTACAAATTTTTCTCAACCAATTTTCTTTTTGGTTGGCTGTTATCACTAACCCTCTTAGGCCCCATGGTGACTTATTTATACAATATAAAAAAAAAAAAAAAGTGAAGAAACACAAAATAGTTTACAGTAAAATTTTGGCAAGTTGTGTTTTGTTTGGTCAAGTGCCAAGCAAACAGTCAACTACCAAGTGATTTGTTTACTGAACAAAGCGTTCGAATATCGAATTGTTTGAGTATGGAGCTGTTCGAGCACCGAGGTTCCACTGTATGTTTCATTTTTCAGAACATAGATGTGCTACTTCACTTTCCAGTGTCTTATGCCTTCTGTGTTTGCTCCCACCTAACTTACATACCAGTACATTATTTACTTCTTGTACTTTTATGCAGTCCATTATTATTGTTGTGATTATTATTATTACTAGTACTATACTAAATTCACTAAAGACCATTAAGCACAGAAATCCAATTTTATTACATTTACACTAGGGAGGTAGGGGGTGGGGGATGGGAAGGGAAGGGAAGGAGGGTAGGGTGGATGTGTATTTGGATTTTAATGTTCTAGCCATAAGAAATGATGTTACAACCCACAAAATACATAAGCAGTATCTTCATTTACAGTTATGATGAAAACCAGTACTGAACAGACAAAAAAAAAAAAGCTTCTTGGAACTACAGCAAAATCTTTTCAGCAAACTATTCTCACTTTATTTTACATATAAGAAGGAACGATGATATCTTCACTTAGCTTTTAATACATTATGGGGAATACTGGAGTAAATATGACACAATTATTTAAACTATATACATACTTATAAACTTAATTACTCATTTTTCATACTTTCCTATAAAGATTCAATTTTTCAAATTTTTATTCTTTTCTTTATTAACACATCATAAGTCTCACCAAGGTAGGATGACCCAAAAAAGGAAACACATTCACCAATTCTCATTCAGTGGCTGTCTTGTCATAAGTACACTGATGTCACAATTCAAATGATACACTACCCACTAAACTGCAACACCTTCACCCCTACTTCAGAATGCAGGCACTGTACTTTCCACCTCCAGAACTTAAGTCGGTTACTAGTTTCCCTGAATCCCTTCATGAATGTTACCTTGCTCACACTATGCTTGCTGAAGAGGAGACAGCTTGAGTTGAATGTGAAGAATGATGGAATGTGAGAAGTTGAAGCCCTGAATAACTTGCAGTGCACTTCAAGTGTCAGAAACTACACAAAAAAGTTATAGGAAAAATATATACTACATGTATGACTCACGAAAATCGTAATGACACGATTGCAAACTATAGTACAGGTGGGGCTTGAACTGTAAAACTCCAGGAAAGTTTTAAGACTCGCTTGCTGTGAGTTTGAGCCCCACCCGTACCATGGTTTATATACATGCATAGTACTAAGAAGAGAAATAATGCAGATGATGGCTGTAAGAAGTGCATTTAACTGCCATAAAAGTGCTAGATAAATCTGGCAAAGTGTGTCTGTATTACACTATCTGGAAACACAGCTGCATATCCTGGGAGTTGGGTTTTCTTCTATTTTCTTGCTGGTTCTTGTTCTTGTTTATTCCCTCTTATCTCCATGAGGAAGTGGGACAGAATTCTTCCTCTGTATACTATGCGTGTCGTAAGAGGCAATTAAAATGCCGGGAACAAGGGGCTAGTAATCCCTTCTGTTTATATTACTAAATTTGAAATGAGAAACTTTTGTTTTTCTTTTCAGGCCATCCTGCCTCAGTGGGATACAGCCAGTGCTTTGAAAGAAAGATCCAGCACTTATATGCATTTTAAAGGAGGGGTTTGGGATATTGGCTATATGTATCTGGGCACCTCTGCAAAGGTAGTGATTATGTGTGAATGATGTTGAAAGTGTCACCCTACCCTGGTGAGAGGCAGCTGATGTGTTAAAAAATCCAAATCATTAAAAAAAAAAAAAAAAAAAAAATTCATCATGTTTACTATCTCCTACCAAGGTAGGGTGACCCAAAAAAGAAAATCACTTTCACCATCATTCACACACAATCACTGTCTTTGCAGAGACACCCAGATATGACAATTCAGATGTCACTCCAAACAGACAATATCCCAAACCCCTCCTTTAAAGTGTAGGCATAATAATAATATAATACACCTACCATCCAACTTACGACCTGCTTGATATACGACCACTTGACTTACGACCATGTTTTGTATGCAGATGTTCTGGGAAATAAACAACTGTTTGTGTTGTACACAGTGTTTCTCCTAAACTTACAGTATAAAATACAATACTAGCAGCATGAAAAGAAAATAAAACAATAAAATAAAATCATCACATTGTGCAATACTGATGTTCAGCAGTAAGGTTCAACTTACGTCCATTTTGACTTACGACCGGCTAGTCAGAACCAAGCTCAGTTGTAAGTCGGATGGTAGGTGTGATATCTTTATTTCTACGAGTACATGTATATGGTATACAGGCCTAGCTGACATCAATGACATACTACTGTAGAGAAAGCCGCTCGTTATGCAGAGCATTTCAGGCAAATCAGGTCAATTTGGTCCCAGGATGCGACCCACCTAACTAACACCCAAGTACCCATTTTATACTGATGGGTGAACAGGGACAGCAGGTGTCTTATGGAAACACGTTATAATGTTATCCAGCCATACCAGGGATTTGAACTCCAGACCTCAGTGTGAGAGCCGAGTGCACTAGTGATTGAGCTACAGGACTCCAGGACTAGAGTCCGGCTAACTGGGTTTCCTGAATCACTTCACAAAATATTACCTTGCTCACACTCCAACAGCTCGTCAAGTCCCAGAAACCATTCATCTTCATTCACTCCTATCTAATATGCTCACAAATGCCTGCTGTATGTCCAAGCCCTTTGCATACAAACCCTCTTTCTTCCCCTAGGGTGTTGGGGAGAGGGGTGGGATTAAATTATGGAGAATCAAATACAAAATGAGAATTGACACAGTTACTTTTTGCTGATGATACTGTGCCTTTGAGAGATTCTAAAAGAGAAGTTGCAAAGGTTGTGTAAAGGAAGAAAGTTGACAGTGAACATAGATAAGAGTAAGGTTATAGGGGTATCAAATGAGTTAGGTAAACTAAATTTGTATATCACATTGGAGAAAGGGTGTATGGAAGAAGTGAATGTGTTCAGATACTTGGGAGTAGACTTGTCAATGGATGGGTTCATGTAGGACAAGGTAAACCATAGAACTGACGAAGGAAAAAGGGTGGGTGGTGCATTGAGGAATCTGAGACAAAGAATGTTATCCATGGAGGCAAAGAAGGGAATGTATGAGAGTAAAGTGGTACCAACACTCTTATATGAGTATGAAGCATGAGTTGTAAATGCTGCAGCAAGGAGGCTGGAGGCAGTGGAGATATGTCTAAGGGCAATGTGTGGTGTAAATATTATGCAGAGAATCTGTAGTGTGGAAATTAGGAGGTGTGGAGTTACTAAAAGTATTATTCAGAGGGCTGAGGAGAGGTTGTTGAGGTGGTTTGGTCATTTAGAGGGGATCGAGCAAAATAGGATGACTTGGAGGGTGTATAAATCTGTAGTGGAGGGGAGGAGGGGTAGGGGGTCATCTTAGAAAAGGATGGAGGGAGGGGGTGAAAGAAAACTACAGATATACTCTCCAAAATCCACTTTGCTCCCCCAATTTATATTCTCTTGAAGTTAGGTGTCATTTTAAAATTAAATCTTAATCCCTAACTATGCTAGTGTACACAGGTGAGGTCTGTGTGTCCTCCATACTAATATGCACAATTTTTCATGGCTTCAAAAATGCCACCTGCTAATATTTTTGATCTACAACCTCTTCATACTTTTGAAAAAAAAAAAAATCTAAAACCAGATGGGTCCATGTAGTATATCATGGGTAACACTGCTTAACTAGTAAAAGTAAGCAATGAAACTAGGACCTGCTGGCCCACCACCAGCAAACATGGTGTGGAACTAACTGGAAAATACCTTTGTCATTCAAAATTCATTACAATTTCATGACACTAACAGTGGAATTCATTCAGAAAGTACACAAATACAATAATCATTGTATGCAATATCTGAGGTATTGAAGCTGGTACAAAAATAAAAGTGCACGTTGCAGTCGTAATCACTTTATGTCTGTATAAATATGCCACTTGCAATAGCCTTTCTAAAATAGCTACAAATTTGTATGTAACTTAGAAACAGAAAAGTTTTTTACACATTTTTGATCACTGTATTGGACAATTCCATTTACACATACAGTGGAACCTCAAAAATCGAACGTATCACACATCGAACGTTTCGAAAATAGGACCATTTTTTCGGACAAACTGTGTCCCTATTATCGAACGCATCCCTATTTTTGGACCGCTGGGTACGGGACCTGTCTGCCGCCCGCTCTGTCCGCATCCCCGCGCAGACGCTGTGAGCAGACTAGCTTTATTTATGCTTGAGTGAACACTAACCTGCACTCTCATTCACGCATTTTACGATTATTTCGTTGTGTTTAGTGCTTGTGGGACTGTGAAATAAGCTGCCATGGGCCCAAAGAAACTTGCTAGTGGTACCTCTATGGTAAAGAAAGTGAGAAACACCATAGATGTGAAGAAGGAAATAATACAGAAGGATGAGAGTGGTGTGAGACTTGTTGAGCTTGCCAGGATGTATGGGAAAAACAAGTCGACCATCGGTTCTATCCTGTCAAAGAAAGAACAAATCAAGGAAGCTGATGTTGCAAAAGGTGTTAATATAGGGAGTGGATGAGGTGCCTTCTTCAAAGATTAAGGAGATTTGCGCCAAGTGGAATGATGTCCAAATGTTTGTGCAGAAGTACCACCCTGAGCAAGCTGAAACAAGCCATCTTTGCAACAAGTTCAGTAACAGAACTATGTCCCATTTTAGGGAAATGTTAGAGGCACCAGAAACAGAGGACTGTGGACAGTCATTTTGTGACACAGGGGTCCAGTGACTCTCAAGCTGGTCCTAGTGGCATTAAAAGACAGAGAAGGGAAGTAACCCCAGAGAGGGCTTTACCTGAAGTCCTCATGGAGGGGGATTCTCCTTCCAAACACTAACCCCAACTCCCTCTCTCCTCCTCCCTATCTTCCAGATGCCATCACCAATCTTCAATAAAGGTAAGTAAAAATGTTATTTTATATGTATTACTATACATAATTAAAAACTATAGTATTTGTTGTATGTAAAACTGTAATTAATCTCTATAAAATGTATTTTTTGTATGAATATTTTTGGATTTCTGGAACGGATTAATTGTATTTCCATTATTTCTTATGGGAAATATTGCTTCGAATTTCAGACTTTTCGAATTTAGAAATAGCTCCTGGAATGGATTAAGTTTGATTTTTGAGGTTCCACTGTATATTATTCATTATATTTACATACATATACTGTATTTATGTATACATACACATATAATCAATGTGATGATGGAAAACTATGTACAATTTTTTTATAATGCAAATTACAGTATCATTATGAAGATAGAATCTTTTCCAAAATATCTGTATACTGATCAGATGTCTCAACATTTAGGGTAAAGTGATGGTTCCTGAAGCTGTGAAACTACTGTAATCTGATAAATAATCAAGCTTCAGATCCTCTTGTGAAAATTGAACTACTAGTGCAAAAACTTTAAGACTGATTCCAATCAATACTTTATTTCCCATTTTCAAAATAGCAACTAATCGGTTCATTTGCACTGATGTAATTATTTCAGCACTTACAATTTCCAAAATCCCAAAACTATGACAGATTTATATTAAAAATATTCATAAATTTCACATCTTAGTATCACATAGTAGAAAATGCCATCCTAAATCTTTATATCACGCAGTTATACATCCCCGAGTCTGGGGTCACTGAGAATCCGAGGATGAGGATGAGGATGAGTCTGTGCTCATCACTTCCACATCCTCCTGCTCCTTCTTCTCCACTACTGCAGTGTGACTTCCAACATGAACTTGGAGCTCTCCTGATGGCTGCCATGCAAATGTTCCACCCAAACCTGATGAAGCTGGCTCTGCAGAAAAATCAAGAGACAGATCAAGGGAAATTAAAGGTATGATTCAGTAAAAAGAAAAAATGTATACTGTATATATGCCAGCTATAAAAGGGTAAATCTATCACAAATACTTCTATCAGCTTGATGAAAATATAAATATAATGAACACTTGTCAAGGCTGAATGATATCTCTTATGTAAACAGGAAGACAGCAATGGGAAATGAGAGTACATTTTGACTCCCAGCTGGAGTTCTCATTAGAAAAATGGAATCCTCATCAGCAGATCCTGCTGATGAGGATTCCAGCTGGGAGCTGAAATATAAAATGTCATTTCCATTACTGTTTTCATGTCAAAGCTCATCTCTATCTAAGTTATACTACCATCCCCCAGGATCCAACCCACAACAACCGACTAACACCCAAGTACAGTATCTACTTACTGCTAGGTGAACAGGGGCAACAGGTTTAAAGAAACATGCCCAACATTTCCACTCATGTCAGGGATCAAACCAAGGACACTCAGTATGTGAGCTGAGTGTGCTGCTAACTGAGTGACAGGACATAAGAAATTCACCTAAGAAATACCATATATGTACATAAACATGCCAAGATAAATAACTCTTATTTATATTTCTTCTAAGTAAATGGTGATTCACTGGCTGATATAAGTCAAATATACATGCACAATTCATTGAGACATTGTTTTAAATACTGCTGTCTAGTGTTCAGATCTCCAGGTACAAGTTATCATTATCAAAACGGAAGAAAGAAAAAAGAAAGGAAGTATCAGTGTCAAGTGTTCAAATTCCTTGGCAAAGCATTTAGTACATCAACTTTAAATATCTGTATCAATAGTGTCTGATTACTAGATACAGCATTTATTACTATGACTTAAACTATCAGCAACAACATTGTTCAGACTGTTATATAGAGCATTTACAAGACCGATTAAAAAACTAACAGGGAAGTGAAAGTAAATGGCAATTTAATACGCCATGAATAAATTAAATAAAGAATACTGTATACAGTTTTAAACTCTAGAGGCAAATACAGTGGTACCTCGGGTTATGAACAGCTCAAAACTCGAACAATTATGTAAGTGTATTTATGTAAGTGCTTTTGTTAGTGTATTTTTGGGAGTCTGAAACAGACTAATCTAATTTACATTATTTTTTTTTTTTTTTTTTTTTTCAACAAGTCAGTCGTCTCCCACCGAGGCAGGGTGACCCAAAAAAGAATGAAAATCCCCAAAAAAGAAAATACTTTCATCATCATTCAACACTTTCACCACACTCACACATTATCACTGCTTTTGCAGAGGTGCTCAGAATACAACAGTTTAGAAGCATATACGTATAAAGATACACAACATATCCCTCCAAACTGCCAATATCCCAAACCCCTCCTTTAAAGTGCAGGCATTGTACTTCCCATTTCCAGGACTCAAGTCCGACTATATGAAAATAACTGGTTTCCCTGAATCCCTTCACTAAATATTACCCTGCTCACACTCCAACAGATCGTCAGGTCCCAAGTATCATTCGTCTCCATTCACTCCTATCTAACACGCTCATGCACGCTTGCTGGAAGTCCAAGCCCCTCGCCCACAAAACCTCCTTTACCCCCTCTTTCCAACCCTTTCGAGGACGACCCCTACCCCTTTCCTTCCCCTATAGATTTATATGCTTTCCATGTCATTCTACTTTGATCCATTCTCTCTAAATGACCAAACCACCTCAACAACCCCTCTTCTGCCCTCTGACTAATGCTTTATTAACTCCACACCTTCTCCTAATTTCCACACTCCGAATTTTCTGCATAATATTTACACCACACATTGCCCTTAGACAGGACATCTCCACTGCCTCCAACCGTCTCCTCGCTGCTGCATTTACCACCCAAGCTTCACATCCATATAAGAGTGTTGGTACTACTATACTTTCATACATTCCCTTCTTTGCCTCCATAGATAACGTTTTTTGACTCCACATATACCTCAATGCACCACTCACCTTTTTTCCCTCATCAATTCTATGATTAACCTCATCCTTCATAAATCCATCCGCCGACACGTCAACTCCCAAGTATCTGAAAACATTCACTTCTTCCATACTCCTCCTCCCCAATTTGATATCCAATTTTTCTTTATCTAAATCATTTGATACCCTCATCACCTTACTCTTTTCTATGTTCACTTTCAACTTTCTACCTTTACACACATTCTCAAACTCATCCACTAACCTTTGCAATTTTTCTTTAGAATCTCCCATAAGCACAGTATCATCAGCAAAAAGTAACTGTGTCAATTCCCATTTTGAATTTGATTCCCCATAATTTAATCCCACCCCTCTCCCGAACACCCTAGCATTTACTTCTTTTACAACCCCATCTATAAATATATTAAACAACCATGGTGACATTACACATCCCTGTCTAAGACCTACTTTTACCGGGAAGTAGTCTCCCTCTCTTCTACACACCCTAACCTGAGCCTCACTATCCTCATAAAAGCTCTTTACAGCATTTAGTAACTTACCACCTATTCCGTATACTTGCAACATCTGCCACATTGCTCCTCTATCCACTCTATCATATGCCTTTTCTAAATCCATAAATGCAATAAAAACTTCCCTACCTTTATCTAAATACTGTTCACATATATGCTTCAATGTAAACACTTGACCTACACATCCCCTACCCACTCTGAAGCCTCCCTGCTCATCCGCAATTCTACATTCTGTCTTACCTCTAATTCTTTCAATTATAACCCTACTGTATACTTTTCCTGGTATACTCAGTAAACTTATTCCTCTATAATTTTTACAATCTCTCTTGTCCCCTTTCCCTTTATATAAAGGGACTATACATGCTCTCCGCCAATCCCTAGGTACCTTCCCCTCTTACATACATTTATTAAACAAAAGTACCAACCACTCCAACACTATATCCCCCCTGCTTTTAACATTTCTGTCATGATCCCATCAGTTCCAGCTGCTTTACCCCCTTTCATTCTACGTAATGCCTCTTGTACCTCCACCACACTTACATTCTGCTCTTCTTCACTCCTAAAAGATGGTATACCTCCCTGGCCAGTGCATGAAATTACCGCCTCCCTTTCTTCCTCAACATTTAAAAGTTCCTCAAAATATTCTCGCCATCTACCTAATACCTCCCTCTCCCCATCTACTAACTCCCCTACTCTGTTTTTAACTGACAAATCCATACTTTCCCTAGGCTTTCTTAACTTGTTTAACTCACTCCAAAATTTTTTCTTATTTTCATTAAAATTTCTTGACAGTGCCTCTCCCACTCTTTCATCTGCTCTCCTTTTGCACTCTCTCACCACTCTCTTCACCTTTCTTTTACTCTCCATATACTCTGCTCTTCTTATAACACTTCTGCTTTGTAAAAACCTCTCATAAGCTACCTTTTTCTCTTTTATCACACCCTTTACTTCATCATTCCACCAATCACTCTTCTTTCCTCCTGCCCCCACCCTCCTATAACCACAAACTTCTGCCCCACATTCTAATACTGCATTTTTAAAACCATTCCAACCCTCTTCAACCCCCCCACTACTCATCTTTGCACTAGCCCACCTTTCTGCCAATAGTCGCTTATATCTCGCCCGAACTTCCTCCTCCCTTAGTTTATACACTTTCACCTCCCTCTTACTTGTTGTTGCCACCTTCCTCTTTTCCCATCTACCTCTTACTCTAACTGTAGCTACAACTAAATAATGATCCGATATATCAGTTGCCCCTCTATAAACATGTACATCCTGGAGCCTACCCATCAACCTTTTATCCACCAATACAAAATCTAACAAACTACTTTCATTACGTGCTACATCATACCTTGTATATTTATTTATCCTCTTTTTCATAAAATATGTATTACTTATTACCAAATTTCTTTCTACACATAGCTCAATTAAAGGCTCCCCATTTACATTTACCCCTGGGAACAAATTCGTTCGGTATCAGCACTCAAACAGCCTTCTGGAACGAAAAAAGTTCGTATCTTAAGGTACCACTGTACTTTATTAACATGTTTTGCCTGCTACAAAATATATTAGACAAAATAACACTCAGGTACTACTAGCTACAGGAAATATTGCAGTTTACTGTACAATAATCTACATAAAAATAAAAATAGAGATAAACTACTGTCTACAACATTTTCAACTGTTGGTTTGTCTCTGTCAAGTTTGTACGGCATTACTTAACATTCCTGAAGTCATGGTGGAAGTGTGTAAGAAATTCAGCATTTTCCAAGTGTTCCACCAGTCATTTTTCTTATCCTTTCCATTACTTAATTAAAGTACTGGTAAGCTTGTTGTCAGACAATAGTCTGCAGAACCTTCTAAACACCTTATAACTTCCCATCTACACTGATTTCTTAAGATTTGGACAAGTAGCCTGCATAGGATTTCAGCTTTATATAGTGTCTATGGTGACATTTTCAGGGGTTCTGTTGCATTTTCTGCATCAATTCTTCCTTCTCACCAGACATTTCAATGCTTTATAGTTCCTTGTGGCATATTAAAGTGAAAACTATAAAAAGAAGTGTAGAACAGTCCCACTGGAAAGCAGGGGTACCATAAACAGTTACATTTTTTAATATCTTACTGACAGATACCAGAAATATTAACCCTTTCAGGGTTTCAGCCGTACTAGTACGGCTTACGAGCCAGGGTTTTTGACGTACTAGTACGCCTAAATTCTAGCGCCCTCAAATCTAGTGAGAGAAAGGTGGTAGGCCTATATATGAAAGAATGGGTCTATGTGGTCAGTGTGCACAGTGTGTAATGAGAAAAAAAAAACTTTGACTGTGTTTTTGGATTAAAACAGTGATTTTGCACTGTATTTTCATATGGTATTTATTGTTGTATTCTAGTTTTCCTGGTCTCATTTTATAGAATGGAAGACATATTACAGAAATTGAGATGATTTTGACTGGTTTTACAATGAAAAGTATCTTGAATTGAGCTCAAAGTAGCAGAAATGTTCGATTTTTACCAAAGTTCAAAAGTAAACAAATCATGCCAAGCATCCAATACACGTCAACTGGTGAGTCTAATATTCTTTCACAAGTGCGCTGATATTATTTATACCATTTCTACACTAATGCAGTAGTGTGCATAACAGTAAATCTATTTTTTGTAAGAATAAAAATTCAAAGTGGAAAGCCAAAGAAATATAAGAGGGGCCTGGGGATGTGACTAACAAACAGAGAACTTGTTATTTTAGTGCCAGGAATGTCTTTCTTGTTTATTCTGGACCCTATTTGGAAATTGTCATGTTTTGAAATCTGTGTGAAATTGGCAAAATTGCTAAATTCTGACCACTTTATTGGATAGTTGAAATCGGTAAATGGGTGGTTTCTTGTCCTCATTAGATAGAAAAAATGGAGTTCTAGCAAAACAGTTATGATTTTTGTCGACTAGTACACTGGAATTGGCCGAAAGTAGGGCTCAAAGTGGGCAAAATCGCCAATGCGTAAACATCGTCGAGACCACTAACTTTGTGAGAGCATAATTCTGTAAGTTTTCCATCAAATTTCATACTTTTGGTGTCATTATGATCGGGAAAAGGTTCTCTATCTTTTCATAAGAAAAAATAATTTTTTTTTTTTTAAATTTGGTGACCCTGAGAACAAGTCTCGGAGAGGGCCTGGGGACCCTGAAAGGGTTAAAAGACTAAAACGGCAAATTTTGAAGAAGGCTGGACTACTCCCTGCAATTATTATTGTTACATTCATGGGGGAGTGCTCACCTGTATGAATCATACAGCACTTGGAAGAGTGGAAGGCTATCACATTCAATCCAAGGTAGTGTCTAATTCCTTGGATCAAGAGCCTTTATGGGCTGATATCAAGGCACATCCCTTGAGGGGAGGAAACAATTCCAGATCAATCAAACTGTGAAGGCTTTATAAGCCAGCATACTGCTAGTAGAAACAGTCTGGTTGATTAGGCAGTCAGCAGTATAGGACAACTCTTGAAACCAGTCAGTTATGTGGCTTGCCCTACATTCTGCCTCTGGCACAAGCCCCTTACTTGGCTGTGAAGATGAAATGTTGTATTGAACTCACTGTAAACATCCCTATCACTGAGTAGTACCCCAGGTTTCCTCAGTGTTATCATCTGATTCTTCAAAGTCAGGTTCCTATCGATATGTCATGGTTCTGCTTTGAATTTGGCTGCTATGTCCATTTAGTATTGCTTTTCTATTAAAATAAAGGATTACTAAAAGTGGAACCAGATATCTATAATTTTTTGTTTTATTACTTTTGAAACAGACAAATGCAATATAAAAAAATTAAAATTAAATTTCTGTGATAAAGAACATCCATGAAATATTCCTTATCAGTTTTTGAGTGATAAAAATAGAGAGGATTCATTTCTCTGCTCCTCTCATTCCTTTCTTCTCTTAACATTTTACTCTCTGAAACTGGAGAACAATAATGCCTGAAACCGTATACACATCTGAATTCCAAAGACTAAAGAACACAGTACATGTTACTACATACCATCGTGCATGACCACTTGGCAAACATGGCCCAACTTCATGCTACATCGAGACACCGAGTGAACGAAAAAAGTAGTTTGAGACGCACCATACTTACCGGCGTGGTGGCCTCTTGTTAACGAGTCTGTCAGGTGGGAATGTGTGTGTAAGAGCTGCCCATTCTGGCCCAGAAATCCTGCTCGCATTTCTAAATCTAGAGAAACAAAAATAATGAATTAACCCTTGTATAAGTGCATTAAATAAGAACTTTGTCACACCTTAACATCCAAAGCAAATTATTATTTTTTGAAATTTGTTACTTGCAGGGATCAATAACTTTTGATTTGCCACAAACAAATGCAATCCTGCCCATGCAGTAACTTCATTAATGATAAACAATGTATGTACATCATCCTTCAAAACTTAAAGTGAAAAAATCAGTTTGCTGTGCAAACAATAAAAAAACAACAAGTTTCTGGGAAAATTCTTTCCAGCTAAAAAACAATAAAATCCCCAAAATCTACTAAATTGCATAAATTTTTTTAACTTTTGGGAAAAAAAAGTGTAAATTTGAAAAAAATATATGACGGGGAAAGTACAATGCCTGAAACTTTAAAGGGGGGGTTTGGGATATTGGCAGTTTGGGAGGGATATGTTGTGTATCTTTTTACGACGTATATGTGGAAATTTGGGTTTAGACGGCAACCGCCAGGGAGGGTATTTCCCCCCTTTTGCCAAGCGAGTGAAAAAACAAAAGCCTGTTAATTGTTTTACATGATGGTGGGGTTGTGGGTGCCCTTTTTTCTGTCTCATGAAATATGCAAGATTTCAGGTATGTTTTGGGCTTCTTTATTTTCCTTAGGTCACACTACACATAATGTCCAAAAATTTTTATATACACACCCCCCTGGGCTTTTCTTTTTTTTCTTTTAGTTCTTTTCTTGTTTTTTTTCCTTTATCTCCTTTGGGGGGGGTTTGGGAAAAAAAACTTCCTCCCTAAGCCATGCGGGTTTGTAAAAAGGCGGGCTAAAAAGCCCGGGGGGCAAGTGGCTGTAAAAACCCCTTCTCCTGTTTATATTACTAAAAGGGAAAAGGAGAAAAATTTTGTTTTTCCTTTTGGGCCAAACCCCCCCTCGGTGGGGGTACGGTCGGGGTTTTTGAAAGAAATAAAGAAAAAATGGTTTAACCTGTTGTATTTGAGCACCTCTGCAAAAAAAAGTGGTTTTTGTGTGAGTGAGGTTTAAAGTTTTGAATGATGATGAAAGGGATTTTTTTTTGGGGATTTTCTTTTTTTTTGGGTCACCCTGCTTCGGTGGGAGGGCGGGCCCCACTTTTTAAAAAAAAAAAAAAAGTACTGTACTGTATATTAATTGCCTTTTTTTTTTGAAAAAACTGTAGGGTAATTTGGGAAAAAATGTATGTGACTTGGGTGGGGAAAAAATTTATTTTCTTGGTATGTATAGTATTTTCTCAAAACAAACATTTACTGATTGTAAGGGGGAAAAAGGGGGCCCGATTAATCAATTTTGTATATGTATTTTGCAAAAGTGATTTCAGTTATTCAGTTCAAATGGGAAGTGCCCCATGGGGGGGGCCAAATTTTCTGGGGAGGCGCCCCCTGCTTTTTTTTATGCTGCCATCTGCTATATTTTTTTTTTTCTTAGGGGTTTCCCTTTTCTTTTCTATTAACCTCTCTTTCTTTTGGGGGAGGTGTCCCTTTTACCATTGTACCTACACCCAACCCGATTTGTCCAATAAGCATTAGCTGAATGCTCCTTTAAATAGTGTTTCCCTACTCAAATTTTGCCAAGTATTATCTTATTCTTTGGCCTACAACTTTTCTATATAACCAATTATTTTTTCTGTTCTCAAAGTCCATGTTTCATTGCCAGGTCACCCAAGAAGAGAGAACTGGATGGGAATGGGTATTTTTTTTTAAAGTACATGCATAATGTACATGCAGCTGTATTATTCTGGATGTATCCAAAATCAGAAATTCCGCTGGGTCACCATCTGGAGAAGACCTGGGCCGGAAGTACCGGCAAATCAACAAGATCAGAAATTCAAAAAAAAATTTCTACCCATGAAGGTGTTGTTGTATAATCAAGACCCCCTCAAGGGAGGTTCCCTGATACTGGTAAGGGGTTTGTGATCTAGGGAATTGGATCTGTGCTCAGGTTCCCTGAAGTGAGCCTGAATACCTTCCACCCCCCCGCGTGCTGTATAATCCTACGGGTTTAGCACTCCCCATGATTATAATAATTATAATAAAGCATAACCAAGAGAGTAACTCTAACCCTCTGGCTAACTACAGTACTTTAAGAGGAGGCAGCCATTTACTGCCTGTCTAATGCCTGACATGGCAATGGCCCCATGTATTACTTGCCATTGTTATCTAAATTTAGAGTTATACTGAAGCCAGTCTTCCAGGGGTGGATCATTCACCAGAAAAGTCCAGGCGGGTGTCATGTGTCTCAGAGGCATCAGGCTTGATAGTTACTTTGTACGTGCTCCTTAGATGTGTTAAAAATATTACACAGTGGCACCTCGGGATACGAAAAGCTCAAAACTCAAACAATTATGTAAGTGTATTTATGTAAGTGCTTTTGTAAGTATTTTTGGGAGTCTGAAACGGGTTAATCTAATTTACATTATTCCTCATGGGAACAAATTTGTTCGGTATCGGCACTTGAAAAGCCTTCTGGAACTAAATAAATTTGTATTCCAAGATACCACTGTATTAGCTTTGTAGATATTTTTTTTTATTTGTGCTTTTCCATTTAGGGTGGGATCATTGGATAAAGGTCTTCATATAATTAACCCTTAACTGTCCAAACGTAGATCTACGTTTTTTCAACATTTGAAAATATGTAAAAAACGTATTTTTTTTTTTTACATATGAAAACGTGTAAAAAACTTTGATCTACTTTTTTTTGTTATATTCGAAAATATGTAAAAAAAAACTTTGAGCTACGTTTTTTTTTTGTTATATTCGAAAATATGTAAAAAAACATAGATCTACTTTTGGAGCACTACGCATGTGAACGTAAATTTGTTTGGACAGTTTAAGGGTTAATACCCATCATTTGACTTTTTGTATTTCCTTGTTATTTTTCCATTGCAGCTACTTTTCTACAGGAAAAAGCCCCATGAATCTTTTTTTCCCCTGCCACTGATAAACAGAAGAAAGTTTAAATTTCTAAAATAAGAAAAATATAAATTTATAAACTGTACTACAGTAGTATTCTATAATTTAATTTTGAACAAAAATATATATGTACAATGTAAGTACAGTACTAACCAATGGGGTATGGTCTTCTTGGGTCACCTTGCTGCCATGTGTCAGGGGCGGTAACAGAATATGTAGAGGAGATGCGGTGAGCATACTTAAAAGCTCCTCGCTGTTGCAGGGGCTTTTTGGGCTTACAAACTCTGCTTTTCGTGGGGCTTGATATAATGAAAACACTCTGGGATTTAAAGAGCAAAAGATGAAAAAATTTGTCTGATCAAAAAATTTGGATGAATAAAAACAGAAAGGAACAAAAAGTTTACAATGCCAGTACAAATGCTTGTGCTATACAGTTTTCCTCGTCACCAGGTTGTGATGGCATCATGCAGTGTTTCTCAAGCTGGGGGATATTTGGTCATGCTTGTCCCCCTCCCCTAAAATTTTCCCTGACCCCTGCTATTCTGGTTTGGGCATTTGCCAGCTGTCATAAAGGGCAAGAGAGTCAAATTTTTATTTAACATAATAATAAGTCAATATTTATAGATATATTTAAAAAAAATTTTTTTCAAAATTTTTTTTTTTATTTTTTTTTTTTAAAATTTTAGCAACATACAGAGGTAAAAAAAAAAATACAGGTAAGAGACATCCCAAAAGCCACTTAATGCATGCTTACGGGCGGGTTTAAAAATTTAATCTAAATTATTTTAACATTTTAAACCCCTTTCAGGGTTCGGCTTAGTAGGGGCTTAGGGCCCGGGTTTTTGACGTATAGTACGCCAAAAATTTTAGCGCCCTCAAATCTAGTGAGAGAAAGCTGGTGGGCCTACATAGAAAGAATGGTTATGTGGTCTTTGCGCAAGTTAAAAAAAATCCTGCGCACAGATGGTAATGAAAAAAAAAACTTTGCCCCGTGCTTTTGGTTTAAAAAACACGACTTTGACAAATTTTTTCGTAGGGTGTTTTTTTTTATTCTAGTTTTCCGGGTCTCATTTTATAAATGGAAGACATATTACAGAAATTGAGATGATTTTGACTGGTTTTACAAAGAAAAGTACAGTGGATCCCCGCATAACGCTATTAATCCGTTCCTGAGAGCTCAATGTTATAAAAATTATGTTATGCGAATTAATTTTCCCCATAAGAAATAAGGGAAAATAAAATTAACCCGTGCAAGACCCCCAAAAGTAGAAAAAAAAAATTTTTACCACGTGAAATTTAAATTTTTAAATAACACAAACTTAAGAAAACATGCACGTTACAGCATTCCCTTTTATTAAGATGTGGTGATGATTGATAGGATGGGGAGGGGAGACTGGATGGTTTTAGGTTTAAAAGGGGAACCCTTTCCTTTGGGCTTGAGGTGTAAAAGTCCTTTTCCGGGGTTGCTTCCCTTCTTCTTTTAATGCCATAGGACCACTTCAGGTCATGGATTCTGTCTCACAAATTTTGTCCATAGTGGCCGTCCCCTCTCTTTCCCTTTATGACTTTCCAAAAGTGTTCACAACAGGTCGTGTAATAGTCACCACACGGCTTGCAATGCTGTCTGGGGGTGTTTTTCATCCATGAAGGTTTGCACTTCAACCCACTTTGACAGTTTTCCTTAATCTTTGAAGAGGAACTTCTTCAATTTCTCCTCTCCCCTCCCCGAAGAAATTTTCCCTCAGGTGTGGTTTGCTGTTGAATTGATCTAGCGCCATCAGTGGTTAGTTTTCATTGTCTCCCCCACCAACTTTTTCCACATCCCCCCCACTAACCCCCAAACCCAAGGCCTTCCCCAATGCCACAATTGTTTCCTAACGGGATGGGTTCCAGGGTTTCCCCTCAAATCTTTAAAAACCCCTTGGGTTTTACACATTGGGGCACAGTTTTTTCCCAAGCAATTTCAAGGTCCTTTAGTCACTCCCTCCCAACCCTTACCTAAAAGGGTTTACACAATTGAGGATTTAAAGTTCTCTCCAAAAACTCTTTAAGTCATCGAGTTTGGAGGTCCAACAAAGCACCTTGCAAACAGAGCTTTTGTGTACATTTTTTTGAAGTTTGCAATAACCTGCGGGTCCGGGGGCGCGGGAGAGGAGTGGTATTGGGAAGCAAAAACTTCCCCTTTAATGAAGCTCATGTCCCCACAAAGCGCTCCCCAAAGTCTCTGGATGCCCGGGGGCATTGTCAACACCAGGAGGCACTTAAGGCTAATTTCTTTTTCATTAGGAAAATGTTTCACAGTGGGGGAAAATGCTTGGTGTAACCAGTCATAGAAAAAGCCCCTAGGTTTTTCTCTACATGCCAAAATGCTATAGTATATATGTCCAAACTTCCCCATCAGTATCAGTACTAAAACTAAACCACAACAGGTATAAAAAAACCATAATTTAAACCAGAAATGATTGATCACGTTGACCCTGATCTAAGCCTACATAATTGAACACAATCAAAACCTATTGGAAAGTAACGCCTTTTACTACACAGCATCAAAACCCAAACCTACCTAAACCAATGTAAAAGTCTATCAGTACTTAACTACAACACGGGCCCTTTAAAGCAAACACTATGTGACCTCCTGGCACTCCTTGAATCACTAAAGACACCCTTCTCCTGCATTTTTCTTAGGGGGGGGGTGGAAAAAAGGCAACAATAGTACTCCCCTCACCGGGATACACGCAATCCAAATGCGGACATACCAATTGGGGTGGTATTGCAATCTTTTACTCAACCAATTTCTTTATCACACCATTGCTTTAGTGATGAAAAGGAGAATACATTTTTGCTAATATTACTGAAAAAAAAATTTTAAGACCCTAAACATGGGTCCTTTTTACCGGATACCCCACACTAACACCCCAAATTCGTGAAAAATTAAAAGGCATAATAACAAAAAACCCAAATGAAAAAGCACCCCCTTCTCTTAGCTGGAGACTTAAAAACTAAACCTTGGCCTACTAGATGATCGCCTGTAACTGTTTCTAAAAATTGAACAACACACTTTCATCCAACAAAAACAAAAACCAACCAGGTCACTAAACAAGTGCAACCATAATGACCAAATTGGCCAATTATTTAGCCCCCTTAAATCAGGGATAATCACAGATAGCACTACAGACCAATACCCCCCTTCCTCTTGACAAACATTATTAAACCCCCACTTGAATACAACAAAATTCATTTAGACCCATGATGAGGCCCCAATAAAAGTTCAAGCTGACCCAGAGACGTTTACTGGGGGCCAAAATTCTCCAAGGCCAATGGTATTGACGACTGGGCAGACATTTTCTTAAAAAATTACCTAGACTATACAAAAAACATTGTCCCCATAAAAACGAAACGTCCAAAAAAAAACGGCTTGGTTTTCCCCTGGCTAACCAGCACCATTGAAAAACCATTGTAAAAACACCCAAAATGAAAAGTAATATAGACAGGGCTTAATACACAAAGAATTCTTAAACATATCACGTCCTCACCAAAAATAAAAAAGAAAGCCAAACAACTATACTACCCAGTAGATTCACTGACACAAGAGGAATATAAAAAAGACCCGGGGAAAAAACTCCTCGATTCTAGGGAACCCCCAATGAAAAAAAACAAGAATATTGTCCTAACTAAACCTAATGAAACCCACTGCAACCCCCCCGCACGCTAAAAAGATAAACGACTTCTTTTCAACCATAGGTTCTAATTCGCCCAAAAAAATCCAGACCCAAAGCCCATGCCCGGGGGTACCTAGATGGGAAATTTCCCAAATTCCTTTATCTTTTCTCCAAAAGACCCCGGGGTCCCGAGATTATAAAGTCACTTAAAAAAAAATAGGGAACTGTTATGTCCCACCATTATTGTACAAAAAGGGCCATGTCCTCTCGCTACTATCTCATGCTTTTTAAAAAGTCACTAGAACTAGACCTTCCCCAAAAACTCAGACGGGGAAGGGTTTCACCCAAAACATAAAGGGGGGCCCCACAGATTTAAACAACTAAGGCCAATTAAAAATTACCATTCTATCCAAAAACTTTGAGAAACTTGTGCACAGGAGCTATATTCATTTATAACGTACAAAACATGCTCAACCCCTGCCAATTTGGATTCAGGAAAATAAAACATAACGATGCAATTATAAAAAACTAGATCTGCTTTACCAGATTGGGGAAAATAAGGGAATATCCATAGGAATTTTTTTTTGACCAAGAAAAGCTTTTGACACAGTAGAACACGGCATCCCCACTCCAAAAAAATTTTTATAAGGGGGAATTTAAAAAAAAAAAAACCCAAAAAAAAAAACAAACTTTTTTATGGGTAAAGGGGGGGCCTTGGGCCCCCCCTTTTCCCCTATTTTCAAATCTTAAAATTTTACCCCAAATTTTTTTCCCCGTTTTTGTCCCAAACCAAAAGCAACCCCCCCAAAAACCCTTTTTTGGGGGGTTTTCAAAAAATGCTTGGTCAGCCAAAAAACTTATGCTTAACGTTTTTCAAAAATACCATTTTTTTGGTGAGACAGATGCGCAAATTAACTTGCAACCTCAAACCAGTAAGGGGAAATTTAGGCTTTATGACAAACAATAAAATTAGCCCCTTAACCTAACCAAAAAATACCAAAAAATTATTTTAAGCAACAGGGGCGCAAATTCCCCTTTTAAATTCCCCACTTTTAATACCAACCCCCCATAGAATTCTTGGGGTTAACTCGAAAAAACCTAAACCTAAAACCCAACAAAAACTCAAAAATAAACCAAAACCCTGGAAAACCCCCCCCTTCAAGATAAATTTCTCCCCGTTTTGCAAACTTTCCCTTCTCACTTACAGGACTTAAAAATTCCAAAATTTCCCTTCCTAAAAACTTCTTGTTTGGCAACCCCAGGGCCAAAACCAAAACAAATTTTAAAAACCCCCCAAAACAAAAAGCTGCAAAATAAAATCAAACCCACCCAAAAAACCAAAATTGCAACACACCCCCAAAAATCCATAGAAAAAACTTTCTCCCTGTTCAGTAAAATTAAAACCTACCACCCGGGGCAATTACATCCCCACCCCGACCTTTAAACAAAAAATAACCTTAAATAAAACTTCTTAAAAATTGGCGGGAACCCCAAACAAACAGAAACCAAAAAAAACATTCCTTTTAATCCCCGTTTTTCCACTAAACCCTTTCCCCAAAATTTTTAACATTTTAAACAGAAAAATTTGGAAAAACCTACCTGATTCAAAATTGAAATTTTTTTTTCACTTAAAACTAAACCAAATTTTTGAAAAATTTTAAAACTTTGAAAAAATTTAATTAATTAATAGAATCCAATTTTTTTGTCCCCCACACCAAAATTAGCCCCGAATATTTTCCCCCTTATTTTCCCAATGTCTAGTTTTTTGGGGATACATATAAACTTATTTGCAAACCCCAAAAACATTCCCCCATTTGGGGTAACCTTTTTTAAAAATATTTAGTCCTTTTCCCATAATTTTTCCTTATTTTTTAAAAAACTGTTTCTTTTAAACCTTTTTGTTTATTTAAGTCTTTTCCCGAAATGCCTACCCGCTGCTTTTTGGGGAAACACTCCCCGCCCCTTTTTATTTTACCCTACCCCCCTTTTAAACCCAAAACCCAATTTTTCCAAAAACCCCCGTAACTTTTAGGGATTTTTAATTAAAGGAATTTAGTTTTATTTGATTGAAGTGACCCATTGTTTTTGTTTTTCCCCCCAATAACAGTCTCTAAAATCTTCTATATTTGCGATCCTGTTTCGAAAGCACGAAAAACCCTTTTGGGCAAGAACAGTTCCCTTTGATTGTGTTCTCTTGGACACAATAGAACGAGTTGTTTGGGGGTTTACTATAAAAACCTGGCCAGCTGGAGACACGCCCCCTCACTTTCTTTACTTAGCAATGTCTTTTTCTTATCTCCATAGTAATTCTCACCCTTATTCTGTAGGGTTGGCACTAGAAGCTTTCTTGGGGCCCATGGGCACTTTTTTTTTAGGGGAAATCCTATTAAAAAGGGTGTAAAATACGAAATGTTCCGATTGTAGCTTGTGTTACCGCGGAGGCGGCTTTAAAAAATCCCCCTGGGAGAACAAGTGGGCTGCTAGGCCCATGGGGAAATTCCCACGAATCGCGTTTAGCAATTTTTTGCACTTGTGACAAAATTTTTGGATAAAATGTTCGCTATGCAGATTTAACCTATGCAATGCCAACGTTAGCGGGGTCCACTGTACCTTGAATTGACTCAAAAATATCAGAAATTTATTTTTTCCAAAGTTAAAAGTAAAAAAATCAGTAGCGTCCAATACACGTAAAATGGTGAGTCTAATTTCTTCCAAGTGCGCTGTTTTTTTATACCATTTCTAATCAATGCAGTAGTCTGCATAAACATAAATTTCTATTTTTTTTTGAGAATAAAAATTCAAATGGAAAAAAAAATGTAAGAGGGGCGTGGGATTTTACTAATAAACAGGGGAAAAATGTTATTTTACTGCCAGGAATATCTTTCTTGTTTATTCTGGACCCTATTCAGAAATTGGCATCTTTTGAAATTTGTGTGAAATTGGCAAAATTGCTAAATTCTGACCACTGTATTGGATAGTTGAAATCGGTAAATGGGTGGTTTCTTGTACTCATTCAATAGAAAAAATGGAATTCTAGCGAAATAGTTATGATTTTTGTCAACAAGTACAGTATAGTGGAATTGGCCGAAAATAGGGCTCAAAGTGGGCAAAAGCGCCGATGCGTAAACATCGTCGAGATTGCTAACTTCGCAAGAGCATAATTCCGTAAGTTTTCTATCAAATTTCATACTTTTGGTGTCGTTATGATCGGGAAAATATTCTCTATCTTTTCATAAGAAAAATAATTTTTTTTTTCTTAAATTTGGCCGACCCTGAGAACGAGTCTCTGAGAGGGCCTGTCGACCCTGAAAGGGTTAATGTCATTTAACCCGTAAACGGTCCAAACGTATATATACGCTCACTACTGTACTGAGAAAAAAAAAAGTTTTTTAATAGGAAAAAAGAGCATATGGTACCCAGGCATCCCCAATTATTTTAATATGGTGCACAGTGAGTGCTCACACCCATTCTCACATGTCTAGGTGACTCAGGCTTATCGTGGCAATGTTAAATGTAGGACACATAAAACGTATATATACGTTTGGGGCACTAGTGGTAAAAACGTATATATACGTTTTTGGCACTAGTGGTAAAAACGTATATATACGTTTGGACCATTTACGGGTTAATAAAATTTATTAAATACTGTATTATTATGAAGAGGAAAAATAAATGTTTCTCTATCACTAGCCTTTATAGTGTCCTTCAGTTCAGCATCTTTGAGGATGAGGAGCTCAACCAGTTGGGCTAGTTCACTGGCAGAAAGTCGCTGCTGCTTTGGTGCAATGCTATTTTCTAGCAGTTCTCTAAAGTGGGAAAGAAAGAAAAATGTACAGTATTGCAAAAAAAAAAAAAAAAAAAAAAAAAAACTATCATCAAGTGTTATATAAGCAAGGGAACTAATGAAAAAAAACTAAAATACCTGTATCATCAATAAATCTCAATTCTCTACAAGTAATCTTATAAGTACAGAACCCTACTGTAAAACAGATCTACAGCATATGTTTTAAACAAAATATGGTAAATGATCATTAGCTATATCAGTTATTCCAATTTACTCCATTGTAAAAATTAATGAGTCCCTTTCGGTTTGTTACAGTAATCCGAGATCTAATTTGGCATTTGGTATGACTCGTTTACAGTATTTTGCATAGCCAGCATGCAGTGATGAATGGTAAATTCATGTCTTGGACTTCATTTGTAAATTGTAATACAATAATGAAATTCATAATTTTTATTAGTACTGTATTATTTAATAGGCAATGAGCAATAATTTTATTTAGCACAAATCAATTTTACAGGCTAAGAACTGTTATCCTACTTAGCTTATTTCAAAGCCTAGTTACCTATATGTATATCCATGATAATTGATGATGATGAGGCAGTGGGTTACTGGTCGTAGCTTCCCCCAAAACAACCACCAGCAACAAAAACCTGGACCACCCCACTAGCTTTCATTATTTTAACCTAACCCAGCCTAACCTAGAATAATAAATATTGACAAATATAGTTTAATATCTTTGTAGGTAGAGCACCCCATACCTATGGTGTGGGAGGTAGTCAAAAGATCACAGAGGCACATATTGTGTCCAGGGACTGGGCCACGAAGTTTTTATAACTAAACAAGTTACAGTGGTAATGAACTATTTACATGTTTATATCTGGTTACAATCATAATAGTGAAGGAAAGCAATGAGAAACAGTGGGTGACTGCAGGTGGGTCATTGTTGTTGGCAGTGAATCAGAGACCAGTGACCAGCAACCCAGCCACCAACCACTGTTGTGTTGCTGTTTAGTACATCATTATTACTGTGTTATTATGGAGAGTTTTTCAGGGGTCATTGCCCCCGTGGCCTGGTCTCTGACCAGGCCTGGTGGATCAGGGCCTGATCAACCAGGCTGTTACTGCTGGCCGTGTGCAACCCGACATATGAACCACTAAAATAAATGATAATTTCCACGAAAGATCAGTGTTTCCATTGTTAAGGATATGGAAACGTTGTGATAAGTGTGTAATGTTAATAAGGTTATGACCAGGAAACAAAGTATATATTGACATTACAACATAATGGTGGCTATGGCTCAGTGGTAGTGCCTTCAGCCCACAATAAAGACCCAGATCCGATCCTGCGGTGGGTGAAGACGTGGGCCTCTTCTAATACCCACTGTCTCAGTTAATCTAGCTATAAATAGGCACTTACAAGTTAGTTGGCTGTTGTTGATCACATCCTAAGGGAGAATCCAAGGATCCCAAGGAAAACAGGACACAATGTTTGGCAGTCTTAAGTTATCTTGAAATATTAACTCTTAGAGGTTATTAATCAAAATAAAATGTCATTAAATACTTACAATCCTCCTCTTAACTACATCTATAACACAAACACCTTGGAAATAAGTCACTTCGACTTTTTGGGGGGTTATCCTAGGTAAGTTAATTGATTTAGTTACATGTACAGTGGTCTGGTGGCTAAAGCTCCCGCTTCACACACGGAGGGCCCGGGTTCGATTCCCGGCGGGTGGAAATTCCGACACGTTTCCTTACACCTATTGCCCTGTTCACCTAGCAGCAAATAGGTACCTGGGTGTTAGTCGAATGATGTGGGTCGCATCCTGGGGGACAAGATTAAGGACCCCAATGGAAGTAAGTTAGACAGTCCTCAATGACGCACTGACTTTCTTGGGTTATCCTGGGTGGCTAACCCAGGGGTTAAAAATCCGAACGAAATCTTATCTTATCTTATCACAAATTATCATAATGGTAACATATGCGTAAATTATCAAAGATAACGCAAGAAAATAGTGATTTACTTCCACTGGGGTAGTGTACTATGATATACTCATGTGTACCTGTGCCTAAATAAACTTATTTACTTACTTATTGTTAAACTCTACCATCTTGTAAACAAATATCTATATATAATTACTTTGATATTAATTCAGTGTCGTCAATGAGAGACAAAAGTTTCTCCCTGGTGCTGATGGACGCCATACTCTGCTACTCTCTCTCTCCTGTCACTCCACAATATGTCAAGTGTATGGTAGTTGAGTGCAGCCTCCCTAGGTTAAGCTGGGCTCAGTGATGAGTGTTATCAATACATGAAGTGCTTGCAACACTAATGTTAGTAATGTTGTTGTTGTGTCTGGGGTTGTTAAGGGCCACCATCACCCCATCATACACCTTGTGTCAACTTCTACTACACAATTGTAATTGACTCTTTAGTAGGTAAGTAAGTAAGTAAGTTTATTCAGGTATACACAAATACAGTTACATAGAATTATCATACATAGCAGTTTATGTGTAGAGAACCTAGGATAACCCAAAAAAGTCAGACAGAGTGACTTATTTCCATTTGGGTCCCTTTACCTTATTATTATAATATAAAGGTTATAATATTTTCTTATTATTTTATAATGAAGATAACATCTTATTATCATACTAAAAAGACTATCTACTACACGAGGGTCATTAAGACTATCTACAATACGAGAGTCATTACTAGGAATAAGGTAAAATTTACACGTATGTTAGCTAAAAAATAGAAAATCATTCCCTCCCTTTCTGTAGCTACATTCATCAGACACCTTTTGGCACTCTTCTTGAACTGGTTCATGCTATGACTGGCTTTGACATGTGCGGGCAGTCTGTTCCATTCCTTTATTACTGTACAATAAAAGGTGTTTGAAGCCTGGCCACTGACTGTGGATACTACAAAGTTGTGCTCTCTCCCCCTAGTACTATGATTGCTTTGGTTCCCAACCTTGACAAAATTGACAGCAAGATATTCTGGACACTGTTTGTGAGCAGTTTTATAAACATGATTTAGTTTCAGTTGTTTTACTCTGTCTTCAACATTCAGCATATCCAACTGCTGTAATTCATCCTGGCCTACATGCTCTCTTGGTCCCAGCCCCAGGATGAATCTTACGATTTTGTTCTGGGTGATTTGCAGTCTATCTTTCAGTTTTTTTTGTCAAGGCAGAGTACCATGAAGAGCAAGCGTAATCCATATGGCATTGTATAAGGGCTAGACATAGGGTCCTGCGAGCCTCAGTAGGTAGACACTGTGCTTGTCTATACAGGAACTTCAGTCTGGCATTCGCTTTCTTTACTACACTGTTCCCTATCAATTCTCCTGACATGCATGGGTCAAAGGGGATTCCCAGATATTTTACTGATGAAACCAAAGTGATGGGCTCCCCATTACACTGGACATTAAAATTATTTACCCTTCTCAGTTTATGTTTCGTGCCAAAGAGAATGGCTTCAGTTTTCCCGAGGTGTAACCATAGTTTGTTGTCTACTAACCATTTGCTGCAGGACTCCAGTTCCAGTGTTAAATCATTAGCTATATCTTGTGGATCTTTACCTGACACTAACAGAGCACTGTCATCTGCATACCGTAGGAGTTTGCACTTGACACTGATGGGCATATCATTGACATAACATAAGAATAATAAGGGACCCAGAATACTACCTTGGGGAACTCCACATGCTATCGGCAGGGGTTCTGATTCCGTTTTGTTGATTTTGACAAATTGTCTCCTGTTGCTAAGGTAGGACTTAAACCAGTCTACAGAGCCTATACCGATAGCTTGAAGTTTCTTACATAATGTATTGTGGTTGACGGTATCGAAGGCCTTTTGCAGGTCTAAGGTTACCATACCCATGAAGTTCCCCTTTGACATTTCAGTTCTCAGGCAATCCATCAGATTAATTAGGGAGGTGTCGGTTGAGTAAGATCTTCTAAAGCCCGATTGATAGCTATGGAAAATGTTGTTGTCATTAAGGTACTTAACTACTTGAGAGTACACCGCCCTCTCTAGAATTTTGGATATTATACTGAGTATACTAAGATAAGATAAGATTTCGTTCGGATTTTTAACCCCGGAGGGTTAGCCACCCAGGATAACCCAAGAAAGTCAGTGCGTCATCGAGGACTGTCTAACTTATTTCCATTGGGGTCCTTAATCTTGTCCCCCAGGATGCAACCCACACCAGTCGACTAACACCCAGGTACCTATTTGCTGCTAGGTGAACAGGACAACAGGTGTAAGGAAACGTGTCGAAATGTTTCCACCCGCCGGGAATCGAACCCGGGCCCTCCGTGTGTGAAGCGGGAGCTTTAGCCACCAGGCCACCGGGCCACCATATCAAAAACAATATACTCAGATCACAACATAATTGAGGTTCAGACATGTATGCGTGGAGCCCCAGACCGACATAATGAGACTAGTCACGAGGGAGCATTCACCAAATTCAACTTCAATAACAAAAACATGAAGTGGGACCAAGTAAACCAAGTCCTAACCGATATAAGCTGGGAAGATATACTAAGCAACACAGACCCCAACTTATGCCCTAGAACAGATTAACTTGGTGGCACTCGATGTATGCACAAGGCTTATTCCTCTAAGAAAAAGGAGGAGTAGATGTAAAATAGAAAGAGACAGGCGCTCCCTTTACAGGCGACGGAAAAGAATAACTGAGCGGCTAAAAGAGGTCAATATATCTGAAATGCGTAGGGAGACACTGGTCAGAGAAATAGCAAGCATCGAACTTAAGCTAAAGGAATCTTATAGGAGTCAGGAATCGCGGGAAGTACTAAAAGCCATAAATGAAATCGAAAGAAACCCAAAGTATTTCTTCTCCTATGCCAAATCAAAGTCGAGAACAACGACCAGTATTGGGTCCCTACTTAAACAAGATGGGTCCTACACAGATGACAGCAAGGAAATGAGTGAGCTACTCAAGTCCCAATATGACTCAGTTTTTAGCAAGCTGCTAACCAGACTGAGAGTCGAAGATCAAAATGATTTTTTTATGAGAGAGCCACAAAATTTGGTTAACACAAGCCTATCCGATGTTATCCTGACGCCAAATGACTTCGAACAGGCGATAAATGACATGCCCATGCACTCTGCCCCAGGGCCAGACTCAGGGAACTCCGTGTTCATCAAGAACTGCAAGAAGCCCCTATCACGAGCCTTTTCATCCTATGGAGAGGGAGCATGGACACGGGGGTCGTCCCACAGTTACTAAAAACAACAGACATAGCCCCACTCCACAAAGGGGGCAGTAAAGCAACAGCAAAGAACTACAGACCGATAGCACTAACATCCCATATCATAAAAATCTTTGAAAGGGTCCTAAGAAGAAAGATCACCACCCATCTAGAAACCCATCAGTTACACAACCCAGGGCAACATGGGTTTAGAACAGGTCGCTCCTATCTGTCTCAACTATTGGATCACTACGACAAGGTCCTAAATGCACTAGAAGACAAAAAGAATGCAGATGTAATATATACAGACTTTGCAAAAGCCTTCGACAAGTGTGACCATGGCGTAATAGCGCACAAAATGCGTGCTAAAGGAATAACAGGAAAAGTCGGTCGATGGATCTATAATTTCCTCACTAACAGAACACAGAGAGTAGTCGTCAACAGAGTAAAGTCCGAGGCAGCTACGGTGAAAAGCTCTGTTCCACAAGGCACAGTACTCGCTCCCATCTTGTTCCTCATCCTCATATCGACATAGACAAGGATGTCAGCCACAGCACCGTGTCTTCCTTCGCAGATGACACCCGAATCTGCATGACAGTGTCTTCCATTGCAGACACTACAAGGCTCCAGGCGGACATCAACCAAATCTTTCAGTGGGCTGCAGAAAACAATATGAAGTTCAACGATGAGAAATTTCAATTACTCAGTTATGGTAAACACGAGGAAATTAAATCTTCATCAGAGTACAAAACAAATTCTGGCCACAAAATACAGCGAAACACCAACGTCAAAGACCTGGGAGTGATCATGTCGGAGGATCTCACCTTCAAGGACCATACCATTGTATCAATCGCATCTGCTAGAAAAATGACAGGATGGATAATGAGAACCTTCAAAACTAGGGAGGCCAAGCCCATGATGACACTCTTCAGGTCACTTGTTCTATCTAGGCTGGAATATTGCTGCACACTAACAGCACCTTTCAAGGCAGGTGAAATTGCTGACCTAGAAAATGTACAGAGAACCTTCACGGCGCGCATAACGGAGATAAAACACCTCAATTACTGGGAGCACTTGAGGTTCCTAAAACTGTATTCCCTGGAACGCAGGCGGGAGAGATACATGATTATATACACCTGGAAAATCCTAGTGGGACTAGTACCAAACTTGCACACGAAAATCACTCACTACGAAAGCAAAAGACTTGGCAGACGATGCAACATCCCCCCAATGAAAAGCAGGGGTGTCACTAGCACGTTAAGAGACCATACAATAAGTGTCAGGGGCCCGAGACTGTTCAACTGCCTCCCAGCATACATAAGGGGGATAACCAACAGACCCCTGGCAGTCTTCAAGCTGGCACTGGACAAGCACCTAAAGTCGGTTCCTGACCAGCCGGGCTGTGGCTCGTACGTTGGTTTGCGTGCAGCCAGCAGCAACAGCCTGGTTGATCAGGCTCTGATCCACCAGGAGGCCTGGTCACAGACCGGGCCGCGGGGGCGTTGACCCCCGGAACTCTCTCCAGGTAAACTCCAGGCCTATAGTTGCTTACATCAGACCTACTATTTTTCTTGAAGATAGGAGTAACTCTGGCCTCCTTGAGCCCCTCCGGTACGGTATTAGTGGTGATTGATTATAGCCTTAATACTATAATCTGTAAGGATTTAATGTTAACAATTAATCTAAGTCTGCTCGACATGCCTAGCCATGCTAGGTGTCCTAGTGGCCCCCTCTGTAATTAGTATTTTATAACATGTAAACCACAAAATACCCAAAACCTGTAAACCCCACATTGTAACCCTTATAGAGAATAAACTTGAATTGAACTGAATTGAATTGAATTGATAGATTTATTATGTAAGCAATAGGGATTGACAGTTCAGAAGCACCATCTTTTAGGAAATTGGACGGGATGTTATCCGGGCCTGTGCTCTTAGTTGGGTTTAACCTGCTTAGTTCTTTTTGAATAAAGTCTTAAGATACACTTACTAGTTGACAACTGTTTGGGGTTACCCCTTTATTGGTATAGTATGTTTGAAACTTATCAGAGTCTGTGTTAAAGGTATTTGATGCAGCTGGTAGTTTACTTACTAGTGTTGATGCAACAGATGTGTAGTAGGAATTTACCACCTTAGATGTTTCGTGGCATACCTCATTATCGATAGTGAGTACTATGTTGGAACTATC